ACTGCTTTCCAAGTGTAGAATAGGCAGTAGCTGAGATCATAGGGGCCGGAAGTGGATTGACATAGGCTGGAAGAGGAATCCTTCTTTGGCTGCAGTGTTGATGTTTCAAAGATGCTGCTGCTTCTTCTGCTAAGGAAGTGGTCAGCGAAAGCATGGTGTGCAAGAAATGTGAAAAGAAACTTGGTACTGTTATCATTCCAGATATATGGAAAGATGGTGCAAGGAATACCGCAGAAGTAGTGGAAGAAAGCTGAGTGAAAATAAAGCTTTGACTTCAAAAAGCAAAATTTGATCCACATGGAAAGAATAAGTTTTCCACTCACAGAATTTCTAAAAGTTCTGTGCACCAGCCATGTTCTTATTACTTCCATGGCTGTGCCTACAAAAAGGGCATCTGTGCCATGTGTGGGGAAAAGGTTTCAGATACCAAAAACTACAAGCAAATATCTGTCTAGACGGACTGATGAAGTTTCCGGTTTTCTGTATGACTTTACTTTCTGCTTTGAATTTTCAAGGCATAACATAGATGTTCAAGTTACAAAATAACATATTTTACAACAAATAATTAAGTTTAAATGAGGAACAAAAATGAATACACTCACACACTTAATGATCTCATCAAGTCTCATGACTTGGGCCCCAGATCATAGAGTCATCCTTGAACATGCCTTATAGGCAAAAAATCCTGTGAGCTCTGCCTTCAAAATATGCACATAATTTGGCCACTTTCCCTCTTCTCCACTGCTACCACCCTGATCCAACCACCAACATCTGTATTATTTTAAAGAGCTTTATATTGAGATATAATTTACAACACTAAAATTTACCCCTTTAAAGTGTACAATTCAGTGGTCTTTAACATATTCTCACTGTTGTGCAACCATCACTGCTATCTAATTTTAGAACCTTTTCATCACCCCAGCAAGAAATCCTTTACCTTATTAGAGTTACTGCCCATTCCCAATCCCGCCCCCCACCTTGGTCCTAAGCAACCACGAAACTTTCTGTCTCTATCCACCATGATTTCTTGACTGGGTTATTAATATAGCTTCCTAACTGGTCTTCTAACTTGTCCTCTATAGACTATTCTCAATATAGCATTCTCAATATAGCATTCTCAATATAGACCCTTCTAAAATGTAAACCAGATTATGTTACCCTCTGCTCAAAATCCTCCAGTGGCTTTCTATTTCACCCAGAGTAAAAGCCAAAGCTTTACAGTGGCCTATAAGCCTTAAAAAATTCTGGTCCCTCATCCGGCCGACGTCATCTCCCGTATCTTCTAGAGCCTGTGTACTGGGTAATTCCTCTTTCCAGGAATGTGCTTCCACCAGATAACTGCAAGGCTCACTCACCTCTCTCAAATCTTTGCTCAGAAGTCATCTTCTCAGTGAGGTCTATTCTACCCACAAACATAAAATTGCAATCTCTAACCCTCACCCCCAATTCTCCTGATCGCTTTGGCCCTGCTTTATTTTTTTCCATGCACTTACCATCTTCTAACACACTATATTCTTTACTCTCCCCACTGCAATGCAAGGACTTTAAGAACAGGGACTTCTGCTGCTTTGTTAAAGATGTATCCTCAGCACTTAGAACAATGCTCGCCATGTAGTGGGAGCTCAGTAAATAATTGTTGAATGAATGAATAAATGAATGACCAGAGTATTCCAGGCAGAGGGAAGAGCAAGTGCGAAAGGAAAGAATGCTAGAGTGGCTAGAATCTGTTGAGGGGAGCGGACAGAGATGAAGGTAGGGAAGGTGGCATAGGAGACTGCTGACTGCTCTGTCCCTGTGTCCCCCAATTTAAGTTCTGAGTTCCTCTCCTATTTCTCTGTCTCCTTAGAGGAACCTGCTTCCTCCATCCTTAAATTGGACTGATGTTTTCCAAGTGTCCTTTCTCAGCACTTTCCCTTACTCCATCCTCTCCAGGGCTGGGTGAGCTTCCCCATGGCTATGACTTCACAACCACTTCTACACTGATGGCTCCCAACTTCTGTATCCAGCCCAAATCTGTCTTGTCAGATCTAGATCACTATGGCCAACTGGCTACTGGACTTCTCCACCTGGGGGTCCGTGAGGCACTTCAAGCTCTTAAGAGCCCTTCCCCCAATCTTCTTTTTCTTTTGCATTTCCATCCCGCTGAGTGAAACTATCTTCACCTAAGCCAGAAGCCTGGGGCATCCCTCCATCTTCACTCACATTCAGGCATCCTGGGACTGTCAGTTCTGCCTCTTTCAGAGCTCTTGGAGCCATCCTTCCCCTCATCCCCATGGCTACTGCTGTCCTGGTCAGGTCGTCACCCTTGCTCACCTGGACTCATTCAATAACCTCCTTAGCACTCTCTTAGGGTCCAATCCTCCATCCTCCACATGGCCACCTATGGGCTTTTTCAAACACTTACTTGATTCCATTAATTGTCCATTTAAAACCAATGACTGACTCCTCATACTCTGCAGGATGGCCTCCAAGTCCCTTCATGACATGCTCTTACTTACCTCTCTCTTCTGCTCAGAGGAGGGAGAGATCTCCTGAGCTTATTAAGAGCAAAAGCTCAAGTCCTTACCGCGCCCTATATTTACTGTTTCTCAAAATCTCTTTGACAAGGGACCAAGTTTCTTTCTGAAAGTTCCAATCCATTGCAGATGATACTTTTTAAAAATACAATAGAAATATTGCTGCAATGTGAAATTTTATACAAGTTTCTAAACACTTATTCTTGACTTTTTTACTTGTCTCCTCATAGTGCAGTAATAAACAATTTGCAGGCTGGCACGTGCCTTGGACCATATTTTGAGTAGCACTGCTTTACAAGGCCCTACATGATCTGGCCCTGCTACCTCTCTAACCTTATCTCCTACCATTCTCCCTCATCACCCCTGCATACCCTGCTTCAGCCACATTGGCCTCCTTACTGTTTCCTTTAACATCCCAATGACCACAGGATCTTTGTGCTTGCTGTTGCCTCTGCCTGAAATGCTATTCCCCTAGATATCCTTAAGCTCTCTTTCCCAATTCACTCAGGTGTTTGTTCAAATATCCCCTATCTGAGAGGTCTTCCCTGACAATCTTATATAATGTATCAATTCTCAACACCGTCTCCTTTCTCTTCACAGCACTTATCACAGTCTAATATATTATATGTTTATAGTCTTCTCCTCACCCCCACCATCCAACTAGAATCTGAACTCCATACGAACAAGACCTTCTGCTTTATTCCTGCTATATTCACAGGGTTTAGCATAGTGCTGACATATAATAGGCGCTTGAATGAATGAATGTCTCCAGCTTCCATCACCAGGATCTCCAGCCCTACCTAATGAGTTTTAATTCCCAGATCTGGCCATATACTTTCAGGTTTCTTTCTTTCTTTCTTTCTTTGTGAGGAAGATTAGCCCTGAGCTAACATCCATTGCCAATCCTCTTCTTTTTGCTGAGGAATATTGGCCCTGGGCTAACATCCTTGCCCATCTTCCTCTGCTTTACATGGGATGCTGCCACAGCATGGCTTGACAAGTGGTTCACTGGCGTGCGCTCGGGATCCAAAACTGCGAACCCCGGGATGCCACAGAGGAGCGCAAGGCTGGCCCATACTTTCAGGTTTCTGAGCCTTTTATCATGCTGCCCATTTTTGTCTGGATGTCCTTCCTGAGGAAGTGATATTTACCTCTCAAAACCAAGGTTAAATGTCTCCTCTTCTGTACAGCCTTCCAGAGGATCACCCTTCCCTCATGGAGTTGATCCCTCCCACTCATTGAATCACAACTATCTTTTCTGTGTATGTCTCCCTTACTGGATTGAGAATCCCCCGAGAGCATGGATGTTGCTGATTCATCTTTGTATACCAGGCTCCTAGCACAGGGCCTGAGGTGGAGCAGGAGCTCTGTAACTGTTTGGTGAAGAATGCTCAGAGCGATTCAAATATAAGAAGCTATTTGAGGTGGTTAATTCTCTGACGCTAGAAATGTTCCAAAAGGCTGGATGAAGTCCCCTTGGGGATACTCCAGGGGGGTTTCCTGACTGGGGTTGGCAGTTTATTTAGCTGTCCCCATGATTCTTTGAGTCTGTGGTCTGATGACCTGTGTAACTCTCCCATCAATGTTAATTTGCATTCTCCATTCCTATCTGTGTGGCTCTGGACACTGGAGGGAGGCAGGCTGGAGGGCTGCACTTATATGCCTCCTCCCACCCCTCTACTAGGTCTCCTATGAGGCAGGTATCTAGCTTTCTGATGGATATGATTGCCTCCTCAATGTGAAGAAGAAGAGACTCTTAGAAGGAACAGCACCTCTTGGCTGATGTCCTGGGTCTCTGAGATAATGTGTTTCAGAGGGCACATCCTGTTAATTGCCTCTGAAAGGTCTAAGAAGCTGTGAAGAGTCTAAGATGGTATCCTATTTGCAAATCAAAGAGCCAGCCTGAAACAAGTGCACACACATATACTAACATAATCACGAGATCTCTGGTTCAGAGACAGATTTTTAATGACAGCATCTTGTATCGGTTCCCCATGCCCCATTAGATGGCACAGTGAAAGCCAGTGTACACTACAGGAGAGGAATGCCGAAATTATGAAACTCAGAGCCTATGTCAGACAGGTGGCATAGCTATTCCTCTTTCCTGGAGGGTAGGGGAGAGAAAGAAAGAGAGAATAAGCAAATGGTTATGGATTTTATTACCTTTGAAAGGGTGTACTTGGCTCTTGGAAAATGCGCTGGAGAGGAAACATTCTGTATCTTCCTAGGCATGTTAACCATTCAATCATCCTTTAACACAGGCACCAGTCATCTCAGAAAGCCCCTATAGCACAGAAACCTGATGTTTCTCCCTAACGTTCCCCTGCCCCTTCTGCCCCTAGAGTTCTTTTCTTAGGTAGGGCAGTTATGGTTTCTAGAGAGTTAGGATGAAGAAAGTCTAAGTCTAATGGATTCCCTATCCAGCACTCTGCCCAGCACAAAGCAGACACCCAGTAAACATCTGTTGAGTGAAGGACACAGACCGTTGTTTAAGATTTTAATGAAGATGGGGCAGAGGGTTGGTTGGTTAAGACGACCTGACGAGGCTCCCCAGAGCCAGGGCAATCTGAGCCAATTCATTCTTCTCCCCTGGGCCTTAGGCGAAGCCCCCCGCCCCTCGAAGCAGCGCCAGAGTTCCTGACATCCCCACAGTCAGGGCTGAACGCGCACAGGCTGCGACCACGCCGGAGGTCATCGAGTCTTCTTGATGAACATCTTGTTGTTTGGAGGGTCCAGGGTCTAGAAAGGGATTCCCGTCCAGTATCAGGTTAGTCACCCCCGCCAGCTCGTCTGCTCGCGGCCCCCTGTTTAGCCTGTTGCAGCTGAGATCAAGCACGCTAAGCTTGGCCGGCAGTCCTTTAGGCACCTGCTCCAGCCCAGCGAACGACAAGTTGAGAGAGCTCAGTGCGCTGGGCCACTCACACGCGGGAGAGCCCGGGGCGGCGGCGCGCAGCGAGTTGTGGCTGAGGTCTAGGCTGTGGGGTTGCACACCCGCCGCCGCCATCGCCGTGCACACGCCATTGGGCGTCTGCATCCCCGCGTTGCGTAGCGCTAGATCCCGGAGGACCGGGAACTTGTGCGGACAGAGAGCCGCAATCAGCCCGCGCTCGCCCAGTTCAGGATTGTCAGACAGGTCTAGAGTTTTGAGGGCCGGGAAGGTGCGCAGCTGTGCGCAGGAAAAGGCCAGTGAGTGTGCTTGCGCAATGTTCAGTACCTCGAGACCCGGCTTGAGCCACTGCTGCAGTTCGACGAGCCAGGAACCTCCTGTCGTCCACGACACGTTACGGAGACTGAGGGTGGAGAGCGCAGGCCCAATGGCTTCTAAAGGCTGCGGCGGCGGCGTGCCGGTTACCTCCAGGTCCTCGAGCGTCAGTTCCTTGAGGCGGGAGTACCCGAGCACACGCAGGAAGGCGACCAGAAGCAGGGTAGGAACCTGTGCGGCGCCCACTGTGAGCCGCCGCAAGCGCAGGGTCTTGACAAGGTCAGCATACTGCTTCGGGTCGGCGTTGGCGCCCTTTAGAAACTGTTCCAGGCTGCGGCCGCCGCCACGGATCTCCACCTCGACGGCGGTCATGCACTGGAAGGCACTGGACCAGTCGGGCTGAGGATCCGTGAAGTTACAGACGCAGCGGAAATTGTCATCGTCCAACTCGCAGGGCTCTGGTGTGGCTGCAGAAACGCGCAGCAGTGGCAGCAGCAGCAGCAGCAGCTGGCAGGGCGCGTGCACCTGGGAGGAGAGCGGAGGTCAGGGCGGCCCCAGCAGGTCCCTGGGGTTCCCCGAGTAGCCCCCCTTCGCCCCCAAGACCATACACTCACCATGGTCGTCGATAGGTCCTCCGAGCCTCTGCGTCCTCGGCGGACTCTGGAAAGGGCTCCGGCTTCTTTCCTACACAGCGGCACTCGCTGGCTTCCAGGCTCCACACACGTATTTGTCCTCTTTGGTGGCCTGAGAGTTTATGTAACCCTGTTATGTCACTCTGTTCCCTCTTCTGTGAACCCTGGTCACTCCTCATCTCTCCTTCATCCAACCACCCGTTTCACTACCCTTCTGGGAAATTTTGCAATAAAGGGTGTTGCCGCGAGAGGGGCTGTAACGGGAAGGATCCTGCAGTGTCCTGCTGACTCAGGCTCCCCAGGCTTGCCTGGCGGGTATGGGAAAGGAAGATCTCCAGTGCCTCAGGCCAGGATTCTCGACCGACTCAACCAGGTACTTTCCTTAACTTTTCCCTAGTCTTGGTGGTTACTAATAACATCCCGTCTGGATTGGACCCAAACCCAATCCTCTGAATATCCTCAGATATTTAACAGGATATTTTGTAGAAGAGATTGCAGACTTCGTCTACTGACTGCAAGGGCTAGAATTAAGTTCAAGAGAAGGAAGTTGGTTTGAAAAACAACTCTCCTTCCTTTTGTTTCCTGACTTGTTCTTTGTTTAACTTTGTTTATTAAAAAGTAATAGCTTTCTTAAAAGTAGAGATGTTTAATTGACCAATTACTAGTAAGGAGATTGAAACAGTAATCAAAAACCTCCCAACAAATAAAAGTCCAGGACCAGATGGCTTCACTGGTGAATTCTACAAAACAGTCAAAGAAGATTTAATACCTATCCTTCTCAAACTCTTCCAAAAAAATTTAAGTGGAGGGAATGCTTCCAAACTTATTTTATGAGATCAGTGTTACCCTGATACCAAAACCAGAGAAAGACACCACACAAAAAAGAAAATCATAGGCCAATGTCCTTAACGAACTTACATGCAAAAATTCTCAACAAAGTATTAGTAAACCAAATTCAACAATACATTAAAATGATCATACACCATGATCAAGTGGGATTTATTCCAGGGATGCAAGGATGGTTTAACATCCACAAATCAATGTGATACACTACATTAACAAAATGAAGGCTAAAAATCATGTAATCATCTCAATAAATGCAGAAAAAACATTTGACAAAATTCAACATCCATTTATGACAAAGACTCTCAACAAAGTGGGTATAGAGGGAATGTACTCAACATAATAAAGGTCATATATGACAAACCCACAGTTAACATCATATTCAACAGTGAAAAGCTGAAAGCTTTTCCTCTAAAATCAGGAACAAGACTAGGATGTCCCCTATCACCACTTTTATTCAACATACTATTAGAAGTCCTAGCCACAGCAATTAGGCAAGAAAAAGAAGTAAGAGGCATCCAAATCAGAAAGGAAGAAGTAAAACTGTCACTATTCGCAGATGACATGATATTATATATAGAAAACCCTAAAGACTCCACCAAAAACTGTTAAAATTAATAAATGAATTCAGTAAAGTTGCAATATACGAAATCAATATACAGAAAGCTGTGGCATTCCTATACACTACTAATGAGCTATCAGAGAGAGAAATTTAGAAAATAAATTGAAGAAGACACAAATAAATGGAAATATATTCTGTACTCGTAGATTGGAAGAATTAATACTGTTCAAATGTCCATACTCCCCAAAGCAAGCTAGAGATTCAAGACAATACCTATCAAAATTCCAATGGCATTTTTCACAGAACTAGAATAAATAATTCTAAAATTTATATGGAACAACAAAAGATCCTGAATAGCCAAAGCAATCGTAAGAAAGAAGAACAAACCTGGAGGTGTCACACTCCCTGATTTTGAACTATACTACAAAGCTATAGTAATCAAAACAGTATGGCATTAGCATAAAAACAGGCACACAGATCAATGGAACAGAATTGAGAGCCCAGAAACAAGCCCACACATATATGGACAATCAATTTACAACAAAAGAGCCAAGAACATACAATGGAGAAAGGACAGTTTCTTCAGTAAATGCTGTTGGGAAAACTAGATAGCCACATACAAAAGAATGAAACTTGTGTGTCTTACATCATACACAAAAATTAACTCAAAATGGATTAGAAACTTGAATGTAAGACCTGAAATCATGAAATTCCTAGAAGAAAACATAGGTGGTAAGCTCCTTGACATTGGTCTTAGCAATGTTTTTGTGGATCTGACTCCAAAGGCAAGGGAAATAAAAGCAAAAATAAACAAATGGCACTACATCAAACTAAAAAGCTTCTGCACAGTGAAGGAAATCATCATAAAAATGAAAAGGCAACCTACTGAATGAGAAAAGATATTTGCAAATCATATATCAGAAAAGGGGTTAATATCCAAAATATATAAAGAATTCATACAACTCAACAACAAAAAACAACCTGATTAAAAAGTGGGCAGAGGATCCGAATAAACATTTTTCCAAAGAAGACATACTGACGGCCAACAAGCACATAAAAAGATGCTCCACATCACTAATTATTAGGGAAATACAGATCAAAACCACAATGAGGGGCCACCCATTGGCGTAGTGGTGAAGTTTGTGCACTCTGCTTTGGCAGCCAGGGGTTTGCAGGTTCAGATCCCGGGCACAGGCTGATGCACTGCTTGTCAAGCCATGCTGCAGCGGCATTCATATAAAGTAGAGGAAGATGGGCACAGATGTTAGCCCAGGGCCAATCTTCCTCAGCCAAAAGAGGAGGATTGGCAACGGATGTTAGCTCAGGGCTGATCATCCTCACAAAAAAACAAAAAAAACAAAAAAAACAGAAAAAGAACGCCACAATGAGCTATCATCACCTCACACCTGTTAGAATGGCTATTATCAAAAAGACAAGAAATAACAAGTGTTGGAGAGGTTATGGATAAAAGTGAACCATCATACACTGTTGATGAGAATGTAAATTGGTGCGGCTACTATGGAAAACAGTATGGATACTCGTCAAAAAGTTAAGAATTGTGGGCCGGCCCGGTGGTACAAGTGGTTAAGAGAGTGTGCTCCGCTGCGGCGGCCCGGGGTTTGCCGGTTTGGATCTTGGGCGTGCACTGACGCACCGCTTGTCAAGCCATGCTGTGGCAGTGTCCCATATAAAGTGGAGGAAGATGGGCACGGATGTTGGCCCAGGCCCAGTCTTCCTCAGCAAAAAGAGGAGGATTGGCAGATGTTAGCTCAGGGCCGATCTTCCTCACACACACACAAAAAAAGTTAAGAATTGAACCATGATATCATCCAGCTATTCCACTTCTGGCTATCTATCCAAAGAATACGAAAACACTAAGTCGAAAGGATACATACACCCTCATGTTCATTGCTTCATTGTTTATAATAGCCAAGATATGGAAATAACCTAAGTATCTATCGATGGATGAATGGATAAAGATGTGGTGTATATATATATACAATAGAATACCACTCAGCCATAAAAAGAATGAAATCTTGCCATTTGCAACAACATGAACAGACCTTGAGGGTATTACGCTAAATGAAATAAGTCAGATGGAGAAAGACAAATACCATATGATTTCACTCATATGTGGAATCTAAAAACAAACAAAACGAGCAACCAAACCAAACCAAACAAAAACAAGCTCATTGATACAGAGAACAGATTGCTGGTTACAAGAGGGGAAGGGAGTTGCGGGGTGGGCAAAATGAGAGAAGGGGGTTAAGTATATGGTGATGGATGGTAACTAGACTTTTTTTGGTGATCACTTTGTAGTGTATACGGATGTCAAATTATAATGATGTACACTTGAAGCTTATATAATGTTATATACCAATTTTACCTCAATTAAAAAAAAAAGTAGAAGTGTTTGACAGAGACACATTGGCCAAGTTGCTCGATCTCTTACAGTTTCAGTGTCCTCATCCTGAAACTGAGAAACAGGGTACTTCTACCACAATTTTCCCACTTGCACCTAGCTCTCCCCTGCCCTTCCCCCAGCACAATTCCTATGTCCTAGGAAGGAAAGGCTAGCCCTGTGCTGAATGAGGATTAACTCATTCAACTCCTCAGGTGAGGAGTAACTCACCTGTTTTGCCAAGAAAAACGTGTCCCGGACGGGTAGGGGTTTTGCTTTTACAACAGCGCTCACAGTTCTGCACCTCTGGGTTTCTGGGGAAAGAGCTACATGAAAAACATTTGAGGTGCTTGCCCTGTGGCATAGTGGTTAAGTTTGCACCCTCTGCTTCCGTGGCCCGGGGCTTGCGCGTTTGGATCCTGGGCGCCGACCTACACACCGCTCATCAAATCATGCTGTGTTGGTGACCCATATACAAAATAGAGGAAGATGGGCACAGATGTTAGCTCAGGGCCAGTCTTCCTCAGCAAAAAGAGGAAGATTGGCAATGGATGTCAGCTCAGGGCCGATCTTCCTCACCAAAGGGGAAAAAAAGTACAAATAAAATTATGTTTTAGCAAAAAAAGAAAAATGTTTGAATTCTCACTTCCCCTATTTCCCAGAAGTAACTTCACAGCTGTCCTCATGTCAAACAAGGGGGCCTCATTAAACCACACTGCCCTCTGTGTGTCCTATTCAGAATGCCCTGCTATCCTGAGCCATGCCCCAAGGCCAGACCAGGTCACTGGGACATCCCTGAGGACCAAGATGTGACTATAGGTCAGTGTTAAATACACTCACTCTGCAGTGAGACAGCCATGCTTGAAATCCCAGCTCTACTACTGAGGTTGTGAGACTTGGGCAAGTTTCTGGGCCTCAGATTTCTGGGCTTCTGCTTTGTGAAATGAAGATAATAGTAGTACCTGTCTATGAGTACAGTCTTTGGCACAGAGCCACATTTATTGATAGTGATTGTTATCTTCTTCATCAGAGCCTCTGCATTCAGAAGACTCAGGCCACTGAAGCCTGGCTCCTCAGCAAATCCCACCACTCTAGGAGAGGCACTCTGGATGAAGGGTTCAGGCTAAGAGGGGCAAGAATGCTTCTGCAAAGATCTCCAATTCACACCTTGATTCAACAAATATCCATCATTTGTCTACCAAGTGCCAGGACTAGTGCAAAGCCCCAAAATGCAGACATGACCATCACACAGTCCCTCAAGTACTCCAGTAGGTTGGGGAGGCAAACACAGATCCAGAACTACAGTCCATAGTGAAGAGGACCCTTACAAAGGAGAGACCAAGGACTTACGGGAGCTCTAGAGAAAGGAACAGCTAGCCATGTAGTAAAGAGGACATGGGGCTGTTTCTTACACGGTTGACAGTGTTGCCAGGCAGATAAATGCAAAAAAAACAGTTTGGGTAGCTATAACTGTCTAAGCAGACACTCTGGGAGGAACACAGATTTTGCCTAGGGATTTATCTTACCTTCCCCACCAGGAAAAAGATGTAGGTGTTAGAAGCCAGCCTGTCCCAGGAGCAAAGGGACAAGACCCAGACCCTATCCCCAGCCAGAGCATGGTACACAGCAGGTGCTCAACAAATGGCTGTCCAGGGGCTGGATGGATGCTGGGCCTGGAGAGAAGATGTGGAGGACAGGATGATGGTCTGCAGATATTTAACTAGATGTTTTGTGGAAGACATCAAAGACTTCATGGATTTCCTGCAAGCGGTGGAATTAAATTCAAGGGAAGGAAGTTGATTTGAAGAACAACTCCCTTTCCTGGATTTGTTTGTACTTGTGAATTTGCCTGCGTAATAGCTTTCTAAAAATTAGAGGACTCCAGTAAAAATTCTTTTTTTAAAAAATAATTTTATTTATTTATTTTTTCCCCCAAAGCCCCAGTGGATAGTTGTATATCATAGTTGCACATCCTTCCAGTTGCTGCACGTGGGACGCGGTCTCAGCATGGCCAGAGAAGCGGTGCATCGCTGCGAGTCCAGGGTCCGAACCCCGGGCTGCCAGCAGCGGAGCGCGTGCACTCAACCGCCAAGCCACGGGGCTGGCCCTCCAGTAAAAATTCTTAAGCTCTACCAGGACTCTACTCTCTTGGAGCTGTGAAGGGGAATTGGGGGGAGACAACATCAAACACTTACACTATAATGACAGCTGTGACAAGGGTTTTGAAGGCGAAGTATATGGTGCTATACGCTCTTATGAAAGGGACACTGGTCCAGTAGTTCTGAGAAGGGGACACTGGAGTTGAGATCTTGAGGATGGTGTTTATTAAGGAGAGGGCTCTGGTTGGGTGGAGGGACAGACAGAGACAGGGCTCTAGGCAGAGTAACGGCCCGTGCAAAAGCCAGGAGGAGGAAAAGAGCCGGGCTTGTTTAGGTAGCAAAGAGAAGATCCCAGGAGAGATGAGTATGGAGGGGCACCTTTCCAGTCGCAGCTGGAGAGGTATGCAGGGATTAGACCATGTAGGACTTAATAGGCCACAATTCGGATTTTGAGGGTGAAGAACATGGTTTTTAACTCACCAGTGTTTCCTTAGTAACTAGTAGATTAGTGGCGCTCAAAGTTTGGTGAAAGAATTAATTTATCCTAAAAATAATGCAACTCACTTTTATGGAGAACAGTGAAATAATTACTATATTTGTCTCATTTTTCTCACCCATAAAATGGGGATAATGGTCATGGCAAACAGTCAGTAAGGTAATGCACGTCCAGTGTTTAGCCAGCGCTCGTTACTGGTGAAAAGGCATCCTGTTTCTTCCTAGAGCTCGGGGTAGTTTTTTTTTTTTCTTTCTTTCTTTTTTTTTTTTTTTGGTGAGGAACATTAGCCCTGACCTAATTAACATCCCTTGCGATCCTGGTCTTTTTGCTGAGGAAGATTGGCCCTGGGCTAACATCCCTACCCATTTTCCTCTACTTTCTATGTGGGACGCCTGCCACAGTATGGCTTGATAAATGGTGCATAAGTCCGCGCCAAGGGTTCTGGGCCTGCGAACCTCGGGCCACCAAAGCGGAGCACGCGAACTTAACCACTAAGCCACCGGGCCAGCCCCATGCTCCGTGTAGTTTTGAATGTTTGTCTAGGAGGTGTTAGGGGTGGGGAGGTTGCGTTTGCTGAGTGGAAGGTGATGCTACTGGCCTGGGCGGCAGGGGTCGGGATTGAGTCACTTTCTTGGCTGGAACTGGGCAAGAAAGAAACCAATTAGTGCCCGAGCGGGGGACGCTCCTTCGCTTGGTTCTCCACCCAGGTCTCATCCCGCCACTAGGCTTCGCCCAGCGCCACTCAACCCTCCCTTCGTCTCTACTCTTCCCGGGTCCGCCCCACGCTCCCTTCGCCTGCTCCTCGCCCCGCCCCAGCCCCTAGCTGCGCCCGTCGCTCCACCCCGCCTCCCCCTCTCGACGTGCCCCGCCCACTCGCTTCCCCTTCCGCCCTGCGCTGCGGCTGCGCGCTCCGTGTGGTCTTCCACTCCCGGGGGTCGCGTTCTGGACTTCCAGCTCCACCATGTGGAGCGGACGGCGGGGCAGCCTCAGGCCGGCGGGCTGTGGCCTGGAGGAGCTACGGCGCCGCCGGCGGGAGCGGGAGGCAGGTGCGGGCGGGCGAAGGAGCACGGGAGGATGAGGGTATGGCGGGAAGAGATAGAGTGATGAGGCCCTCGGATCGGAGTCGGGGTTCTGGGTCCTGGGCGCCCCTCTCACGCTCAGTCGGCTCCTTGGCCCCCAGTACTGCGGAAGGCACGGAGGGAGCAGCAGCTGATCAGCAAGAGGCTGCTGAGAGACGACGCCCCGGGGGAAGCCGAAGAGGGATGTGTGGCCATGATCCTCAGGGAAGCCGAGGTGAGGGGGCAGGGTGCGCGGTGAGGTCCACGCCGGCTGGCGCCAGATTCCTTCCTCTGGTACCCGAGGTCCGCCCCCAGACCTGAACGCGGTGGGTTCAACACCTCCATCCATCCAGTGGGCCAAGCCAGAAACGAGGCATCATCCTCGGCGACTCCGCCCCTCATCCTCATATCAATACATCATCAAGTCCTATCCGTATTTTACCTCCTAAAGAGCTCTGGAGTCTTTACCTGCCTCGCCATCGCAGCTGCCACCACCCTCTTCTCTGGATACTTACAGCAGCCTCCTAACAGGTCATCTGCATCTCTGCTTGCCGTTCTCAAATTTATTCTCCATACGTCAGTCAGATGTGTCTTAATAACACACAGAGACCAAAATCCTTGCTGTGACCTATAAAGTCCAGCATGGTTTAACCATTTCCTACCTCCAACTTTATCTAAGCTTGCTCATCTCAGCCAAACTGTCACCTTTTCAGTTCTTGGAACAATATATCAAGCTCTTTCCTGTCTTCAAGGCCTTTGGATTTTCTGTATCTAATGTGGGTCCCTTTTGGTATGCTGTCTTGATAGTCTGTTTGCAGAATATTAATGATACTAATTGTTTGCTTGTTTATTATCGTTTCTTCAACTAGACTTTAAATCCATGGGAACCTAGACCCTATCTTATTTGTCATCACTGAAAACTCAGATGCCTGTACAACATTTGGCATATAGTAGATGCTCAAAATTTATTGAATAAGTGAATGAAATAATTGGTTTTAGCTCGTTTATTCATTCAGCAAGCATTGGGCATTCCCTGTACTTATATTTTCTATGTTTACATATACCGTTTACAGAGGACGCCTAGGTTATACCATTTATTCATGTGTGCTTACGTTATGCCAGAACACTGTGCTGGGTACTGAGGTACAGAGATGAAAAAATAGTCCCTTTCTTTGAAGTGTTCACAGCCCAGTGAAGGAGACGGATGTGCTACCACCTGTCATAGAGGAAACATGAAGCACAATAGAAAGCTCTAAGTCTGCCAGAGGAAGCCAGAAAGAGCTGACTTCCCAGAGGCAGTGACAGGAGTAGAGCTCTGAAGGAAGTGGAGGACCTGGGGAGGGTATGCCAGGCAGAAGAAATAGATAGTACAAAAGCTTGGCAGCATTACCACACAAGTCATGTTATGCTAGGTGTTGTTGGAGTGCAGGTTGCATGGGGAGAATAGCTGGAGGGGTGGGTTATGCTGAGAGGTTATCCTTGAAACAACTCTGTAAGAAGGCGGGGTAGATGTTATTTCCATTTTTCAGGTGAGAAACTGAGGTTTAGGTCCCTTGTAGAGTAAGTGGCAGGGTTGGTATTAAACCCAGTTCTGATTCCCACTTGTCCACTCTACTGCAAGGTTGGTGCTGATTAGCCATAGTGTGAGTGACAAGTTCTAGGGATGGTGTGATATGGGAGGGCTCATAGGTGAAGTGGGCAGAGCAGGACTTATGACTTGCTTTTTGGCATCTGTGTGTTGCCATCTCTCCTCTCCGTGCCCTGGGGTCCAGATCCAGCAGTTCCTGCGGTTAGCCCAGCGGGGGACAGAGGAAAAGGAGAGAGAGAGGGCTCTGGTCAGCCTTCGTCGAGGCTTGCAGCACCCTGAGACGCAGCAGACCTTCATCTGGTCAGTGTGGGTGGTGTGAGTGGGTGGCTGGGGCTCTGAGGATGGACAGGAGTGTGGAAAGAATGGGCCACAGGCTGAGCAGGGCTCTGGTGCTCACTCACGTAGGCTGGAGGGAAGCATGCGGACTCTGGTCGGCCTCCTGACCAGCAACCAGGCTCTCCTGCAGCTTGAGGCGGCTCGGTGCCTTCATGAGCTCTCTCATTCTGAGCAGTCTGCGGTGGCTGAGGCCTGCCTGCCAGCCACTTCCTACCTTCTCACCTACCTCTCCGGTCACAGCTCAGACTTTATAGTAAGCCCTGTCCCTTCTTATCTTGTTCTTGGCTTGGATTTAAAGCTTGTGCTTTTGGGTCCAGTTTGAGCTGGCAGGTAGGGAGAAGAAGAAAACCTGTTTCCCCTGATGCCCACAGCCATACATACACTCATCATCTCCCACTCCCTTGTGCCCAGAGCCTCAAGGACAGGGCTGCTCCATCCTCCCCACTCCCACCCCCACCCTTACCCCCACCCCCAACCCCACCCTGGCCCCAGAAGGCCAAGCCCAGTGCTTTTGTTGTCCTGCTCTCAGGAGCTCTGTCTGTATACACTGGGTAACCTGATCGTGGAGAGTGAGGCTGTGAGAAGGCAGCTCCTGCCACAGGGCATTGTTCCTGCCTTGGCTGCCTGCATCCAGGTGAGTCTCCACCTCCTTTCTCGCTCTCCGGGTAACCCTCCCTTCACTTCTTTCTACATGCCCCACCTGCTTTGGCTGGGCGGCTCCAGCCTCTGCCCTGGGCTGAGGGGTTGAAAGTCTCAGGAAATTTTATGGCGCAGCTTCCAGAGTCAGATCTCTACCCTGTCTACTTCCAGTCCCCCCATCTGACTGTGCTAGAAGCCCTTGGATATGCCTTGTCCCAGCTTCTGCAGGCTAAGGAAGCTCCAGAGAAGATCATCCCGTAAGTGAAATTATGCCTCCAGACATGCAGGCAGGGGTGACCCACTTGGTAGTGTAGCCCCTGGATGCCTGATGGAACCTGGTTTCCCAAGCTGTTGCACATTTTAACTCCGTGTGACTGGCTGGAAAGGGCTTTGGGTTTGGACCCTTTCCCACCTGCTCTTAGGGTTTGGGAAGAGCATCAGGCATCTTGCCTTCTGTGGTTCTTACAGCTCTGTTTCTGCCGGCAGCTCTGTCCTGGCCTCCACTCTCCCACAGCACATGCTGCGACTGTTGCAACCTGGCCCAAAGCTGAACCTTGGGGTTGCTATGGAGTTTGCCTGGTGCCTTCACTACATCACCTGCAGGTAATATAGGCCAACGGGGAAAGTGCCACAGACCTCCCCTGGGGCTCCCTCATGACACTCAGGTTTTTGAACTTCGGTTTCTGGAATTGTTGTGAGTTTTCTTCCTTCCATGGTCTTTTCTGGGAGCTCAGGAAACCCACAGACCTAGGCTGTTTGCCAACTTAAAGGTGGGATTGACTGAGTAGTGACTACTTGCTTCCTGTTGCCCAGCCAGGTCAACAATGACCTGCTCATCACCCATGGGGCTCTGTCCACCCTGGGGCTGCTGCTGTTGGACTTAGCTGGGGCTGTCCAGAGAACTGAGGATGCAGGACTGGAGCTGGTAGGTGAAGAAGCCGGGTCAAGATCTGGGCGACCTTTCTTCCTACTCTGCTTCTCCTCCATTGAGCAGGTAGCCCCTTCCTCCTTACACCTGACCCCCAACTTGTCTTTGCAGCTGGCATGCCCTGTGCTCCGATGTCTAAGCAACTTGCTAACAGAGGCAGCGGTGGAGGCTGTGGGAGGGCAAATGCAGCTCAGAGATGAGCGTGTTGTGGCAGCCTTATTTATCCTTCTGGAGTTCTTCCTCTGGAAACAGCCCAGCCTGCTTCCTGAGGGCCTCTGGCTCCTTAACAACCTCACTGGTATGCACCATAATCTGCCTATGCCTGGACCTTTACATACTGGGAACGCTTCCTTGTGGCCTGGGCTGAGGTGGGTAGGATTGGGAGGGGGTGGTTTCAGGCCTCAGTTAGAGGGACTTCACCTGACATTTTCCCTTCTAGCAAACAGTCCTAGTTTCTGTACCTCCTTGCTCTCCCTGGATCTGATTCAGCCCCTCTTACAGTTGTTGCCAGTATCTAATGTGGTGAGCCTATTGGTAAGTATTGGGGTCACCTGAGTCCAAGATCTAGTAGCCAAAGTGTAAACAGTGGGAGCAGGCCTGAGCCCTCAGAAGTGCCCTTAGCTGAGAGCTGGCAGGTGGTGTGGTATGGGTAGCTTCAGGGGCAGACCAGTCTAGGTTTGAGTCCCTAAACTGTGGTTTACTAGGTACTAACCCTGGGCAAATAAACTAACCACCTTAAGTTTCAGTTTCCTCATTTATAGTTGGGAATAATAATCCTACTTGAGGGCAGCTGTAGGGATTACAGAATATGCATATAAAATTGCTTGGCATAGTGCCTGGGGCACGTGGTCAGCACTCTATTTTAGCTATCATTACAATCTTTGGCTTTCATCCTTTTTGGGGACTGTGTATTCGTATATGTCTGCAGGTGCTTACAGTTCTGTGCAACATTGCAGAGAAGGGTCCTGCTTACTGCCAGCATCTGTGGCCAGGGCCCCTGCTCCCCTCCTTGCTGGACACACTGGCGTTCTCTGACACTGAAGTAGTAGGCCAGAGTTTGGAGCTGCTTCAACTGCTGTTTCTCTATCAGCCAGAGGTGGGTTTTGGGCCCTGGTCCCTAGTCTCCTGTTCTGAAGCCTCTGGTCTCACTATGGCCCCTTTCTTTCCTGTCCTAACTATACTCACTTCTCTGGTCCTGGCTAGCCTAGGTGGGCTCCAAGTCAGAACCTCCATCTTGTTGGGAATGCACTCTCTTCCAAGAAAATGTGGGCTAACCCTTCAGGCTGTGGGAATTGAATGTTAAAAAGAGCACAGGGCCCCAGGTATTGAATCCTTTTCTTCCCTGCTATCAGGCTGCCCAGGCCTTTCTGCAGCAATCAGGGCTGCAGGCCCTGGAAAGGCATGAGGAGACACAGCTCCAGGATCGTGTGCATGCTCTCCAGCAGATAGCTCTTCATGGGTGACCTGGCTTCTCGATGTCACTTACTCCACTCCTCACCCTCTCCCCCACCCCAGCTTCCTTGCCCTTGGAGCCCCTTTTGGGGATTTAGACCCACAATGAGGTCTCATGTTCTCTGCTCCCACACCTAAGCCTACGCCAAGACCTTTGGACCCCAGCTCTTCTTTCACCCAGCAAGGTCCAGGCAGGAGGACCAGAGGGAACTTGCTGTGGCCTACTTATTCTGAGGCCCTGGAATCTCCTTTTTTTTGTTGTTGCTTTGGCAGCTAGTGGCTTTTGATGGGACAGAATAAAGTTTTATTTTTATATTAAACTGCTTTTGCCTCAGTGATTGTGCAATAAGGGGTAGAGGATGGAATGAGGAAAAGAACATCCTGAGATAGCATCTTACAGCACAAGCTTTATCAAGAACAGGAGAACACAATTTTTCACATTGTACTCAGTCCAGCAGAGCCCAGGCTGTGGGGTTCTTGCTCTTAATCCTCAATGCAGACTTCAGGCTTTGCTACTTAGCACATTCTCCAGGGCTCTGGTTACCTGATCAGCACTGAAGTTGTTCAAAGAGACATTCTTCTCTTGGCCAAATGCTGAGGAAAGAGGGAAGTGATTAAGTATCCACTCTGCACTGTAGGGGCTACCAAAGTATAACAACAGGTATTTGTTTTCAACTTACAGTCTTGTTAGGATAGGAAGGGTAGTAAAGAGATATGACCAAGGTAGATTTGGTATGCCTAGAATTTATCTAGTTGCTTTCCAACACAGCTAGGAAGTCCAGGTCCAACTAGAATTTTGACTGATTCTGGGTGGCCACAATGGTAAGGAAGGTGCTTCCGGGAAGTTTTAAGGGGGATGGTAGGCATTTATTATTAACCATTGTGAGCAGTGTATTGCATAGGCCTAGCCTTTGCTGGATGCCCATTCTATGGCTCCCACAGTCTGCCTAATATAATACACTGAAGTTACTTGAGTCCATCTCCTCCTCTAGTCTACTGGCTTTTGGAAGGAGAACGTTTTTTCCTCTTCTAAACAATTTTTAGGACATTGCATTACTGCAGATGTCCACTGTTAGAACCAATCCATCTTAGGTTTGACTCCCCCCTTCCCCCAGACATTCCTAGGGCAGGGTGTAGTTAAAAACCATGATTGAAATACCACTATTCAGTAAGTATAGTATTTGTGTGACCGGCAATATGATGGTAGTTTTCAGATTGCAGTAAATATAAATAGGGTAATATATAAAAAGGGCCGAGGGCAACATTACATAACTGGTCAGAGCTCAGAGCTCAATAATAAAGAGCCAGCAACGTAAATCTGGCCGAAGTGCATTCTAGAAAGAGGGAACAAATGTAAAGGCTCAACACTATCGTATCCTAGCTACATAATCTTAGGTATGTTCCATAAAATTTTTGATTCAGCTTTTTAATTTCTACAATGAGAAAAAAAGAATCCACTCTCTCATACAATTAAGATTAAGTGAGACTTAGGCAGGAGAGCACTCAGCACAGGGCCTAGCATTAAGTGCTCAAACAGGCATTATTTTAGGTTATTATTGAGATTCTCACACTCTACCCGGACCGTCACTGCCCACATGTAATTTGCAAGGACCTACATCGACGAGAATTCTCGTCTCCCCTCTGTGAAGACTAATTTGAATTACAAAACAGCTCCTGGTCCCTACGCAGGCCCCGGCCCGCCTCCACACAGATGTTACCCGGGAAACGAAGCCTCCTCTAACTCTACGAATGTAAATTTCCTTATCCCCAGCAAGGTCAACAGCAAGGCCGAAGTCCTAGTTCCGGTCTCCCTACAGGTTTTTGCGTGACCTTGGGCGGCTCTTCCTCTTCTCGAACTCTCGTTCCTCCCACCGGGGTCCCAGACTCCCAGCGTCCGGCGCTCACCGTAGCGGGCCCAGAGCTTGGGTTGCACATCTGAGCACTCGCGGATTAGGATGGGCAGGTCGGGGTTCGCCTTCTTGAGCTCCACATAGCGTTTCTCGATGAAGTCCCTGCGGGGCCGGAGAGAGCGCCGCGCGTGCTGTGTGGGCGCGGGCCTCCCCAAACACCTGGGAGGTCGAGGTCGTGACCCCGGCACCCCGAAGCCCGCCCGCCTCACCACGCCGCGCCTCACCTGACGCCCTGGCTGCCGGGTGAGCGCTGGCATAAGTGGATGCGAATCTCACGAAGGCCCAGCTTGGCCTGGAGCACTCTACTCGCCGCGGCCGCAGCCATCTCCGCTAGAACCCAAACCCCGCCCCAGGCCTTCCGGCCAACTTCTCCAGTCGGACCAATCGCCGACCCTCCAGTCTCCGCGATAGGCTGGTGACGTAAGGGGGCGGAGTAAAGCTTAGCCAATGCCACACAAGCATTGGAGGGCACCAGTCGAGTCTTCCTCCGAGTGCTCCGCGAGCGGGCGGGGGCGGAAAGGCTGCGCCACGCAAGGCACTGTGGGTTGGTTCCTGTGGTGCTTTGTGGGGAAGAGTCTGTCGCTCTTGTGTTGTTGTTGTAGCCTCAGTCCTTGCCGACGTTGAAACACTGCGGACGAAATGCCAGAGCGAGATAGTAAGGGTCGGGTCATCTGTCCTTTCTTCCCTAAGGGGATCGGGACACTTGGCGCGTTATTTTGGCCTCAAAGCTTAACCTGGGTTGTGTGTGTGTGTGCGGGTGGCGAGGGGCCAGGAGTGTGACGCTGGGAGCCTGGCGAAGCCGTTGGGCCCCGAGTGAGGCCGGGCAGCTCCAGACTCTGTCCCTAAGTCTCGTCCTCGCCCCAAGTGACGACGGGTGGGTTTTATCTGTGAATTAGCCACTCCTCCCAAAAACTTAATCTTGGGTCGCGCCAATTTATCTTCCACGTAGTACGTTAGATATCATCTTCAGGAAGTCTTTGCTGATCCTCCAGCGCGGCTTTAGGGGCCCTCTCCTCTGGGCTCCCACAGCCCCTTGTAGTTTCCCACTTAGGCACTTATTACGGTGTATTCTCACTGTCGCTGTTCGTGCCTTTCTTCCTCACTAGATTGTGAACTAGATTGACAGGAAAACACATCTGTATTGTTCACCACTGTATCCCCAACTTTTGCACAGGACCCGACACAAAAGAGATTGATTAAATTAGTGTCAATTCTTTTTCTTAGGCGAGCCGTTCTCCAACCCTTTGGCCCCAGATGGCCACGATGTGGACGATCCTCACTCCTTCCATCAGTGAGTGTTTCGATGTCGGAGCATGGGTATGAGCTGGGCAGTGAGTAGAGTGGTGGTGGTGATGGTGAAAGAATTCGGAATATCTTGTGAGCAAGGATGGTTAAAAAAAATTGTACTACTTGCCCCTTTATCTTGGTGAACTTTAACTGGATCAGGCCAACTGCATAAGAGTATTAGAGGGGAAATTCTGGCAGGGAGGGTGCTAGTTTTTAAAGTTGATGTTTAATTATATATTATATAGGAATTAATACTTCTTGTAGAAAATTAAAACATCAGAAATAAGAGTAAAGTTCTTTTTGATAACATCCCCAATTTCAGTCCCTTTCTTAGAGGAAACTACCATTACCTTTTTTTATGTGTATCTTTTCTTCCTACTCTTTTTAATGCATTTATATGCATACATGCATATCTGAGGAAAATATATCATTGCTTTGTGAGTTAAAATATTAAAATTAAATAGTGTTATGTTGTATATATATCGTTTTGCCACATGCTTTCCCCCCCCACTCAATATCTTGGAGATTATTTTCATGATAGTGACAAGGACTCCCTCCTTAACCAAATTTTAGTCAGGCTTCCCTGAGGTCTATTTTTGGCTAGTCCTGCTGAGCCCAGTTTTAGCAAAGAATCCTGCTCAGCCAGTTTATGGAGAATCCCCTCAATCAATCAAGGAGAGCCAATCAAGCTCCTCTTCCCATCAACTTTGATATCTAATCAAGTTTGTCTTCCACCCCACTGTTGATGCCTAACCAAGTTCCTCTTGTAATACAGTGTATAGTAATATAGTAATTATATAATAATGTATATAATATGTAATATAGTAATTTCCTATAAATCCCCAATTGTCCCTGTTGTATTCAGAGTTGAGTTTCAGTCCCTCTCCCCTGTTTCTATAGTCTTGACTTTTATAACAGTAGTCATGAATAAAGCCTTCTTTGGGGAGACTTAGCAGGATTCTTTGCTAAAACTGAGCTCAGCAGGCCAACGAAGAGGCCTAGTCAGAGAGGTCTCAAAGGAGCCTGACTAAAGTTTGGTCAAGGAGTGAGTCCTTGTCACTGTACCAGTTAAAATTATCTCTTGTACTATTAGTGCTATCTGCCCCCCATTTGCAAAACAGTGTCACAGTTTATTTAGTTAGTCTCCAGTTAATGGACATTTAAGTTGTTTCCAAGTTTTTTTTTCAAAGCTGTAATTGAACCTTCTTTATAGGCCTTTTTTTTTAAATTTTTATTTTATTTTATTTATTTATTTTTTTATAGGCCTTCTTATACATATATGCCAGTAATTGGCCAGGCTAAATATAGATGAATGAAGTTGCTGGGTCATAGGATATACACACACTTAAATTTTAATAGATACTGCCAGATTGCCCTCCAAATTGGCTATACTGATTTGCATTCTCATCAGCAGTATATGAGAGTATCCACTTCCCAAATTCCCACTCACACTTGATTTATCAAACTTTTTAATAGTTAACATTCTGGTGCATAAACCAAGCAAGCTTTTTAATAGTTAACACTCTGAGGCATGTCTTTGTTATAATTTGTATTTCCCCTATTTCCAGTCAAGTTAACCATGTTTTGTTTTGTTTTGTTTTGTTTTTTTTGTGAGGAAGATAGGCCCTGAGCTAACATCTGTTGCCAATCTTCCTCTTTTTGCCTGAGGAAGATTGTCCCTGAGCTAACATCTGTGCCAATCTTCCTTTATTTTTGTATGTGGGACACCTGCCACAGCATGGCTTGATAAGCGGTGCATAGGTCCGCACCCGGGATCTGAACCCACGAACCCCAGGCTGCTGAAGCAGAGTGGGCGAACCCAACCACTACGCCGCCACCGGGCCAGCCCCTAACCATGTTTTTTACTTATTCCTTTTCCAATTCTTATTGGGTACTCACTTTTTAAATCTTTGCCTTCTAGATCAAAACTCACCAATGAAGACTTCAGGAAACTTCTCATGACCCCAAGGGCTGCACCTACCTCTGCACCGCCCTCTAAGTCACGTCACCATGAGTAAGTTTTGGGGTGATCCAGCCTGTCTCCCATCTTCTTCCTATGGAAAATTTACTGAACTAGATGTCTTAGGAAGTGGAAGACTAGTTCTTTTTTGAAGCCTATGTTCTGATTCTCTCCCTCTGGAGATTGAAGCTCCAGGGAAGATTGGGATGCTCTAGGATCTCAACTTTTTCTCAGAGTATGTTCCATGGACCACTTTATACTAGAGTTGCTGCTGGTGCTTACTTGGGCAGATTTCTGGGCCCATTCAGCCCCACAGACTCAGATTCTGGGGCATATATTTTTGAATATATAATTTTAATATTCTTTGAGGTGGTTGTGATGCTTTGTAAAGCTTGAGAACCACTCACCTACAGATATTGACATGGATCTCTGCCTGCTTGAAACTGTTACTTTGGTCAGTATTCTAGGCCTTTCTTCAGTCCTCCAGGCCACTTCTTAGGGTTTCTGGGGCTGTGGCAATATTTTTCTTTTGGTGAATTTCTTTCTCTTCTAGGATGCCAAGGGAGTACAATGAGGATGAAGACCCAGCTGCACGAAGGAGAAAAAAGAAAAGGTGAAGGAAGGATGGAGGAGTGTTGGGTTTTAAGGTGGATAGTGTTTTGCAGAAAGGAGGAGGGGCTGGTTATCAGGCTAGAGATGGAGGTTTTCCTTTATTGTCCTGAGGTTTTCTGCTTTCACAGTGGAGAGAAGTGATATGTAGAGTGGCAATTTAAGACTTTGGAGTCAGCCTATGGTGTTTTAATCTCATCTTTACCAGTTTCTAGCTGGATAACCTTGAGCATTTTGCTTAACCTCTCTAATCCTCAGTATTGTCATGGGTAGAATCAAGATAGTGATAGTAACTTTTATCAGGTTTTCATGAGGATCAACTGTGATAGTGCATGTAAACACCTAGCACCGGTGCCTAGCGTATAGACACCACCCAGTAAATCTTGGCTGCCATTATTATTTTTATCGTCATCGTCGTCGTCATCATCATCATTATTATTTATGAGATACTAAACTTTCTGGACCTGGTACTTTGCTTGTCCTCTGTTCTGGGGGAGGACTGGAAAGGAATGATTTATTTTTGGTTGAAATTTGGAAGATGATAAAAATTCAGATGACTTCCTAGTTGCTGTATGGAAAAGTCTCATACCTGTAGAGACTCGGGGATGTAGAGTTGGGTCACGTTAAAGAATTCTGAAGTGACAGATGGAGTGTCCTGAGGTGGCATTGGAACAGTATATCTGTGAGCTGCAAGATGAGGACTGTCAAGAGGTAGCCAGCAGTCCTGTCAGGACATAGATGAGCTTTCACCATAGAGAGTTGGATGAAGGTATAGGGCAACAGGCGGGAACAGTTCTGCTGACCTTGGGATAGCAGTTGGTGAGCCTTACACATTTGCCTTTCTTTCCTCACAGTTATTATGCCAAGCTTCGCCAACAAGAAATTGAGAGGGAGAGAGAACTAGCAGAGAAGTACCGGGATCGTGCCAAGGAACGGCGAGATGGTGTGAACAAAGATTATGAGGAAACGGAGCTGATCAGCACCACAGCTAACTACAGGGCTGTGGGCCCCACTGCTGAGGCGTGAGTACCCGGGGGCCAGGGCATGGTTCCCTCAGCATCCTAGAGTCATACAATTGCAATATGAATTCTTCCTCACACTTTCTCTACTCTGGAGCCCACGCCAAACTATTTCAAGAGGCCCTTGTCAGCCGCAAAGGACTGTTCTAATGTGGCCTCTTTTATTATACAGGGACAAATCAGCTGCAGAGAAGAGAAGACAGTTGATCCAGGAGTCCAAGTTCTTGGGTGGTGACATGGAACATACCCATTTGGTGAAAGGCTTGGATTTTGCTCTGCTTCAAAAGGTGATCCTTGGTGGCTGGGTAGAGAGTAATACTAGAGTGCTGAATGCTCTTGTATGAGCCTTTCGAGGTGAAGAGGGAGACTGCTGTTGAACTACTTCAGACTATCTACAAGGGCTAACAGTGGCCCCTCTGTAGGACTAATTGCTACTCATCCTTCAAGTCTCAGCCTCAATTTTATTTTCTTGGGGAAACCTTCCCTGATCACCCAGGTACGGTTAAGTCCCCCAAC